GAGGATGGGGATTGTTCAGAGATGTGAAGACTTGCAGCTGTCTTAGACAATGTGTCATCCACCAGAATAACAAAAACATATTTTCTATTCTTAAGTGCTACTTATGTGGGGTTTTTTGGTGTTTGGTTTTTTGGGTTTTTGCTGGATTTTTTTGTTTGTTTGTTTGTGGTTTTTTTCTTTTAATTCAGCTTGAAAGAGACTTTGGTGTACTTCCTCCCAGCAATACTCTGATACATTTGTTATGTTTTTTTAAACCAGTTTTCATTTTAAACACTAGGAATGTCTTGATTTACACAGATCAGAAAAACTCATGCTATTGCCAGTAAGAACAAGCATATGACAATTCCTTGGACTTAAACAGCTTTGCTAAATGGAAATTAAAAACAAAAACAACAACAAAAACAACAAGAAAACCAAAAGGAAAACCTCAGAGTATTCACATACAAAATGATGAAATAAATACAGTTTTGTATTTCTTTTGATACTAACTGGTTATGTCTATTGCCTTTTCTATCCTTTGAGTAATGTGGCACTCTAAATTCTCAGTAAAAATATCAGAATAACTGCCAAGTTCCAACAAATACCTACCATTGAAATCTGTTGAAAAACCTGTGAGTAGAAATTTTGATTCAATTCAATGTTGTGAAATCATCTTCTGGAATGGAATCCTGGACCAGCTTGATGGGAGTTTCACAGCAGGAGGGTACACTGCCATTGTCTTTATGGTATTTAAAATATCTGCTCCAAGATCTACAGTGACCAAGGTGATGCAAAGCCGTAGTGTGCTTTTAAGAAGAGACCTGTGGATGAAATAATGAGAAGCACTGTCTGCTATGTCACATCCTGGAGTAGGAAAGCTGTTTGTCTCCTTGCTTAGTTTTGCTCTTACCTGTGGAACAATGCAGTTTAGTAGGTTGACTTTCATACAGTAATTTTTGAAGCAAGGCTTGCCATGGGCAGTATGTTTTACATGTACCTATGTGGACATTTTATTGCATGCAATGCTACTTCAGCATATCTTTTCCTGAAGGCTTCCAATGCTCCTGCCTTTGCTGACTGTTAGTTGTTGCAGCTTGGCTCCTCTGTTCACCTGGTGAAGAGGGAGATGTCATACTTTTTAAGTGCAGAGGGTTATTGGCTAAAAAAAACAGTTAATCCTGCTATTTGTTTCTAGTTAATAATACAAAAACCATTTAGGAAATTAAGAACCTGACTACAGAACTTCTGAGTACCCATTAAGCTGTCTAGATGACAGCCAGAATTCCTAATCCCTTCAATAGGTATCAACAAAGAGTATAACAAAGAAAAGCACCCACAAAAGGATTTCTCAAAAGTATGAAAAAACTCCAGCCTTCTAGTCTGTAATTCATATTGCAATTTACTTTCTCATATAAATACTAATGTATTAAATCATAGGGCAAATTGATCATCAATTGATGAATTGTTAATATAATGAATGCTAGAAAAATGAGTTTATGATGGAGTTAGTGTGGACTGTGAAATTTTATTTCCTAGAAATAGTGTAGCATGGAGGTTATTATGATTTATGCCTACAGTTACTGCCATATCAAAATCTAACTAAGGTCACTGCTATGAGGGCGACACGTGATTTACCAACAGGAAAATTACACAAGGTTCTAAATTACACAGACCTTGGATTTCTGCACTTCTAAATCCACATCACATATTTCTATTTAAATAAGCCCTCAAGGGCTTTGTTTGACTGGTTGTTTGTTTAAGTGCAAAACATACCAATGTAATGTATTTACTAATATAAAATATGGAAAGAGATTAAGGCAATAAAAATTAAGACTATGTAGTTTCATTTAGGCATCTGTTTTCATCTCCTCCATTAATCTTCCCTGTCAGTTACCAAAAATTATGTTTTGATGATTATGTTGAACAACAAAAATCACAGTAGCATATTGTCCTTCAAGGTAAAAATGTATTTTGGTGTACAACCTAGTGAAAACATCACCTCTTTCCTCCAAAAGTGTGCTTCTGCTTGAAAAGTTTAATCAATTCAAGTCTCAGGCAAATGAGAGTGGAGGACTCCCTTATCTTTCTTAACTTTACAAATCTTTTAGTCATGCTAAAAATGTTAACTTGTGAATACAGACCTTTGATATTTTTAAAGATACACTTCAAATAAATGTTTAACCGTAGGATATTTGGAGAGGTTTTTTTGAAAGTAAATTTTTTGAGGTTTGTGTCTCTTATAAATTCCATGTACCAGAAATATTTTTTACTGTCTCTTTGTTTCTCTCATGCAGGCATATTTCTTTTTCCCATTTCTGTATTATAATGAGAAGATAAAGAAAAGCCAAACAAATAAAACAACTATATTTTTCAACAACTGCAGATTTAAAGATAAACATTTAAAAATTCACTGGAATATGAAACAAATGAATTGACTCCTTTGAGTTTGGAAATATTCCAATAAAGGGCTTGTCCAACAAACAATAGAAACCTTGACAAGAAAAAATAACACCAAAAGCCAAAACATCTAAAAGAAATAAAGTTATCTTGAATCCCAGTATTTTCTTGAATGATTCTACAAATGCTGAACTTCCCTCTTGCAAAACACAGCAGTAAGATTAAGACTTCAAATAATTCAATTAATATAAAAAATTTATAAGATAATTGAGTTAAAGGTACTAGCTAGGCTGAGACATTTGGAAATTTAGAGAAATTGTTCTCTGAAATTTATTTTCCATGTACCAATATGTGATAAATACTACAGACACTTCTGAAGTGCAGCTTCTGTGAAACAGAAGGCAGGGAATCTGTTCCTTGAACACCAGTCCACAAGTACTTCTACCTTGTCAGTCTGGCAATTTTTTTTCTCTTTCTTCCCCTCTCTTCTTTTGCCCATCAGATGTAGTCAGAGACAGTGAAACTAAATTCACCTCAGACTTACTTGGAACTGCTGGGAGGAAATTTTTGTAGTTGAGCACTCCTTGACAGTGTAGAAACATGAATTGCCAAGTGCAATTCTCTCTCTCCCTCTGAAACAATACCAAAATTTTCCAGGAGCATTGTGTTCTCAGGAATGCCCTGAGATGCCCTCAATCCTTATGAGAACCACCAAAGAGTGTGCTAAAAAACTTAAGTTTTGCATGCCAGAGAGCAGCCACTTCAGGATTTCACCCTAATCATTACTGTTCATTCTCAGCAAGAAAGAAGATGCCTATGAGACACAGAAGATCCTGGCTTTACAGAGACAAAATATTTTCTGTCTCTGAGGACACCATGGGGGATTCCAACCAAAGCTCAGGCTTCTGTAGGACTTGAAAGGACAAGAGTCAGGAGCATTCTAACTCAGTGATGTATAAAGTGCATGAGGCAGGTGGCTAGTGAGCACAGACACGAGATCTGCCTTGTGTGGGCAGCAATACATGGAACAGCTTGAGACATTAGGATGTGAATGGTTCCCGTGATACTAGTACAGATGTAGATCATTGTAGATGATTGGAGCATTGGAGATGTCAGCTGGCAAGTGACAACCCTGTTCAGTGGCTCATGTTGTGGCACGCAGCAAAAAACACAGTGTAGACATGTGCTTTATGAGATGACTACAGCCATTAAGTTAGTTAACTGTTAACTAATTGGCTTTTACAACTGTTGACTCAAAGTGGGCAGTTTTGTAAAACCATGTCCAGAACTATCTGAAGTTAATGGTACATCTCATCTCACAGATATTTTTTCCTAGACATTGCATCCTTTCCACTCAGATGAGGACCATTCAACCATAATAATTCATGCACCCTGTGACCACTGAGCAAAAGTATTTTTTAGTAATACTCTGGACATTCCAGTCTGGGAACAGATTACATCAAACGCTGTCTTCTCATGGAAATAATTGACAGAGATAAAGAACATGAATTTAATACTACACAGGGTGAGAAAATTTCAAGAGTTAGAGAAAACAAATTTCCTGAGCTTCAGAGCTTTCAGCCCAGGAATGCCAGAAGCAGTTCGAACTTTCTTCAGAACCCACCCCAAAATTTAACTTTTTCCCTAAACCAGCAGTAACGGAACCTGAAAAATACTGACTAGGTGAAACAAAGTGAATTCAAGTATAAAAATGGGCAAGTTTTGTAAAAGAACTTAATCAGCTATTTCTCAAAAACTAAATTGCTTGTCGGTATCTTAAAGAGTACCTTGTATTCTGAACCTCTTTACCACAGAGGTTTAGTGATACTTCACTGACAGCTTCCACAGTGTCAGTTTATTTCCATAATCCTATGGTAGAAAAGGGGCCAAGGCAATCACCTGAAATTCAGAGGGATTTCAGGAAGCACAAGGCAGCCAAAACTGATTCTGGCCACTTATTGTGATGGCTGTGATGGCTTGTCAATCAGGTGGTAGGAACCACATCAGTTCCAGTTGTTCTGCAGAGACATTTGAAAAACAAAAAAAAAAAAGAAGCCTAATCTTTTTAGAGGCAGAGAGACAGAGAGATTTATCAACAAATTATCTCAAACATAAACTTTCATGTGGTATGAATTTGAAGCATGAAACAGCATTTCAGTATTTCAGTGAGGGTTTATTATATATTTTTGGGAAACAACTGTCCTTTTTTAAAATTTCACTTAATACAGCATTGTAGTTTCTGTAAAATTTGGAGTAATCAAATCAATTTACAACTATTACACACTCACGCATAATCATGACTATAAAAGCCACAATTGCTTCACTGAATTCTGATCATCATGGGTCAATGGGAAGCTTCAACTCTTCAGTATTTTAAACACACCTTTAGCTAATTCTTATACAAAGGTGGGGGAATACATTTCCTTTGTTACCCACTTTTTCTTTCTTCTCTAATCTTTTTTCCCTAAACCCAAATATACCATGTCCATATCTTATTCTTCATGTTGGTAGAAATGCTCTAGGCAGACCATTAATATGGTCCCATAAGTTAAGAAAATTTTCTTTGTGAAAATGTTGGAAGCTTCCTTGCTACCATGATGTTATTTTTCATTAAACANTTAAGAGATAACATCAAAGACAAATGACTTGTTAATCTAAGTCATGGGAATTGTATCCATAATAGAAGTTTTAAAAACCTGAGTAAAAGAAACTGAGGCACACAAAACTCAGTATTTTGTTGTCAGAAATAGTGTTAAAAGAGTGGTAAATTAAAGGTTATAAAACAGATTGTATATTCAGAGTACTCCAAGCCCATAATTTTTATTTACCTACACTCTCAATGTACTCATTCCCTATCAGCCATTAGGGAAGACAGAGAACCTTATCTCAGAGAAGTGTCAAAGTGAGCAGGTGATTAACATTATTCAAGCAGAAAAATTGCATACTAAGCACTTCCCAGACTTAGAAAGCAGCAGTCATTCCTTTAGAAGAGGAATAAAACAAGCAGAATTTTCTCCTTCCCAGAAAGACAGCCACGTTCAGGAGTGAACTTATACTCATTCTACATCGATTGAAAGAGGTTTGGAAGCAAACAAAGTAATAAGAGTTGACAGATTATATTGTTTGTGATTCTTTGGGGTTTTTTTGCAAAAATCTCCCCACGCTAAACATATATACCCACACTTATAAATACTATACCAGTTGTTGCAATGCAGTCAAATCCAACAAAAGCATAAAAACAGGTTGCAGCACCAGCCAATGTTCCTGTGAAATGGTATGGCATAAAGCCACCACTCCCATACATACTCGTCACGTTTTCATAGGATGAGCGGTTCCTATAAAGAACAAAAGTACAGCAGAATTACAATCTTTTTTTCCCATTATTGGTAGGATAAATACCTGCACCCTCCTACACTTGAAGTCTGAAAAAACAGTTTAAATGTTCTCATCATGACAGAGGTCTGCTTTACAAAACTGAACGCAATGACATTTTTATGTCCAAGCTTGTAAGAAAGAAAAATAACAGCAAAAGGAAAAATATGACTCAAATAACTATCATCTTACTTGCTTTGAAGTTTGTGAGAAAACATTAAAACACTAACAGTGTTTATTATAATAAAGCATGTGTAAGAGAAAACTGCTAAGAATATGAGCAAGTAAATAGATTTTTAAAAATTACTCTGTTACTGCAGTAAGGTTTCTGAGATATTCTTCACTTATCTTCCAGTTGTCAATTTCACCTTTCACAAAACCAGAAATCATAACGAAGAATAGGACCAAGATGTTAATAGCAGTGAATATTTTATTCACCCATGCAGACTCTTTTACTCCAAAAGATAAAAGACCTGTAAAATAAAAATATTTTATAGATGTGAATGGCCTATTATACTAATAAAATGGCATTTTAAAGAAGCGATACATGTAAAAGAAGGTGTGTGTATATATATATATATATGCAAGTACTGTGAATAATACTGCAAAAGCATCACCAGATTAAAAAAAAAAAGCATTATCACAAATTTGCTAGACTTTTTCAATAGCATGGCAACAGGAAAATATATTGGAAACTACAAAAGAGAAAGCTTCTTCTTTAAGTATTTAACAGTATTTTTAGCAATGGCTACATTATACTTCTCTGAGATGCTCTGTTTTATGTTATGGAGTAAAAGTAGCTACAAGAATTCTGTGCTTTGTAAAAACAGATTGGTATAATATATTCTTTACAGAAGAATTATCTCTTAGACTAAGAAAACAAGCACAATTATTAAATTAACAATGTAAATGATTGACTCTACATTTTTCAGGGCACATCCATCAAAGTCCTATGTCCTAGCTCATTAATAAAAGCTTTAAAAGAAATGCATGCCTCCTCTTTGCAACACTGATGCATAGAGATTCTAGAAAACAGTCAGACACCAAATACATATGGCTTTATATTACAGAGTAGAGCATTTAAACAAGCTGAAAGTTATTTCATCAGGATTCTATTTTATCATTAGATTTTTAATAGTTTTAAGTATTAAAGTTTAAAGCATTAAAGCAATTTAATGAAACAGGCAGTGAGCAGATCAGAAAAAATTAAATACAATTGGAAAGTTTTCACAAGTCTCTTGCACTCAAAGCATTACCATTAATATCACATACATACTTTCCCTCATTATTTAGAGATTAAGTCTGAAAATTTTAAGCCTCTCCAAATAAAGTCTAAAAAGTTTCTGACTTTGCTAATGAGATATTTGCTATCTTATCAGAACACAGAAATTATCTTATGAGCTTCTAAATTTTTCTTCTCCAATGATATTTTTATTGAAATTGATGTATGCTTTCTTCAGCTCAGTTTTTGCCCAAAAGGCAGTGTCTCAATCAGCCTAATGCAGTGTGAATCATAGTATGTGCATTTTTAAAGCCCTTTCGTTATCCAAAAAAACAAAACAAAACACCACACAAAAAAAAACCCAAATCAAACAAACAAAACCCTAAAAAAACAAACAAGAAAACCATAACAACAAAACCAAAACAAAACAAATTAAAAAACCAGAAAAAAACCACCAAAGCCCAAACCCCAGATTTCTGTGTACTTTCCCTTGTGCTTCCCTCGTTCTGTAAAACATCACCTGCTACTCCTATGATTCAGCTTTACACAGCTCCAATTACTGTATCATGCTCAGCCTACACAGTCCTGAGCCATCCCCACTGCCCCTTCTTTCAGCAGTGGGGAATTCCACCCAGTTCACTCACTGGGGGTTTGGTTTCCTATCACAGACACCTGGAGAGGCAATTTGTAGTACCAATGTGAAAGGAGTAAGGAAGAAATGATGGTAGGGATGAAAAGACAGGATACAAATGAAAACTCAGGAGTGGTTATGAACAACAGGGGAAACATTTCCTTTTTTTTCAAGAGCTTCTAATTCTTATGTTCTGAAGCTGCAATGGGAGTGGAGAAAACACAAAAGATGTCAGCATCTAAACTAGGACTGTATAGTTTGGTTTGTGGAATTTCGGTGCTCTGCTTTCAAGAGTGTTATTTTTTGCTCCTTTATTTGGAAGAGGAAACTGACAGGTCTGCTACAGTTATGTTCCACATTCATTCCCAACCCTCCTGAGGACATAAGGGTCTGAACTATAGATCCTATAGGCAGCTCTGAGCCACAAACATGGCAGGATACTGGACTAAACCTAGTCCACTCCCAGATCTTCCTAAGTATAGGAAGACATTCTTTTTTGTACAGAGACCTAATAAGCCTTCAGATGCACTGGTCACTCATCCTAGCAGTAGGTAGAGCAGAAATGTTTTCCTGTGACAAAAAAAGAACCCACTCAGAACAAGAGAACCAGAAAACAGGTTATAAACATATAACTTAGTTTTACTTTCCAGAGAAGAAAAGCTCTTGCTTTGGTTTAATCCAAAGAGAGACTGAACATGACAAGTACATGAGATATGGTTAAGACTTCTACTGAATATTGAAATGCTTCTAGTATTGCCTGAAAACAAGCTGTACACTTTAGAATACACTTCCTGGTTCCTTCACTTCCAGAGGCAAGGGGAACATTTCCATGTGGTAAATAATTGTTAAATGCAAACATGGAAATAAGTTGCAGTATTTTTGAGCTTTCTGATCCCTCAAATAGCAGGTAGCTAGGGTCAGTGTTTGCAATTTAAAAGCACGATACATGAGTAAAGACAAAAACAGGACTTGGAAGAATAGACAGGAAAGGTTTACTCAGGTTTCAAACTGGGCTTTTGGTCCATATAAGTACCTTGGGGTGCCCTTTAGGTCAAATAAACTCTAGGATAAACAATTGAAGACTTAAAAAGGGGAACGTTATTATATACCAAATAAGTGAACAATTTAGATGGAAAAACCCCATTACAAATGGGTAATGCCCACTACATGCACAATATATAATTTAAGGATACCCCATCACCAAACTACAGAGTTTAACCTTCAGGCCACTCTGAAAGCATTTACTTGCAATAAAGCCATGAAAACACAGAGACTTGTGTAATTTTCCTGTTACCGTCAATCTCTATCATGGGTTTTATAGTGATTAGTGATTAGTTCATGTCTCAGTTTCAAGTGAAGAGGGTGCATGTGAAAATTTTATTATATACATTTAATTCACAGAGCCATTCTGCCAATACCAAATGTGCCTCTGAATTTCCTTAAGGTGTTTCTGGTGAAAAACCCTAAAATTTAGCACTTTGATCTGTAAAATATCACAACCACCATAAACTAAATCGTACATTCTTACCCGATAAAAGTAATATAAGGAATACAGCGAAGAAGTCAGGATACTCTGCTAGCCCAGAGTAATTAATTTTGAAGTAGGCACTGAAGAAATGACCAATCCGTTTTCCAAGAAGTTCATCAAAGGTGCCGCTCCAGGCTCTTGCTACACTTGATGTACCTTCATAAAACACATGCATGTTTAGGGTTTTACATCCCTACTGTGGGACACAGCTGCTTCTACTGAAAAAGAAACGAAACTTAGCCTGTTGCTACTTGTATTTGAAAAAGCAGAGCCTGTGATGTTTGTTTTGCTGAAGAATTTTCATGTTTAAGAATTTTGCTTATTAAATGGTAACAAGTTTTTCTAGAACCAAAATATTTTGGTATAAAATAAAAATAAAATAAATAAATAATAATAATAATAAAAAATAAATAATAATAATAAAATAAAAAAGTATATACTTTTTCCCCCTCATTTAGTCCTAAAATAATGCAGAAATTATTTCTGTGTCATTTATGCCTGATCCTGGAAGAAGCTTATTTCTAGAATTCCAATATGACATATGTTAAACAACAAAAAAGTAACATAAGAAAGCACTTTAAGAAAGAACATGAAGGAAAGTTTGCCTACCTGTAATAAAGCAAAAAAACCCACTTTACTACCAAGATATATGCTACTGGAGTCTGAATTTAAAATTAATACTCTCTTGTGGTAAAGAGTGCATGGCCAAATACAATTTATTTATATACACTTCTCTCATTAAATACATTTTAATACAATACTGGGGAAGATCAGTTTTGTAATGATTTGAGTAACCATACTGTAGGCATACATCTAAAGCTAGGAATGCTCATACAGAATATAATAGAAATTTGGAACACATTCCTCCGGGAGGAATAATTTTTAAATCCAAAAATCTTATCTCTGCTGGAGCACTGAAATAGCTATTTGACTATCTGCCACATAAGCATTGATTTTATTCCCATCTGGTCAACTTTGTATTTTGTGTGATTACCTGATAGGACAGCAGTTAATTAGCACAAGGACATAATAGCAAGTTAGTACTTAAACACCATGACTTTACTGTAAGATACTATTGTGGAATCCTTGTAAATGTCTTTGCTGTGTATATTCAGAAAAAAAATTATTCTCGATTTTACTGAAATTATTTTTGCTGAACAAGGATGGCAAGTAAGCCCTGTTTATTCTTGTGCATTATCAATGAATTGTCTGACACAATCTTCATAAAAGGTATGTGATTCATACCTGCTAAACTGTTACAAAAATGCTTTGTAAAATCCCTGTTTGCAACGGTGATGCACAGAAAGAAATAACCTAATCAAATTATTTTGGTTACTTCATCTCAGCAGGACTAAAAAGAAACAGGAGTTAAGCATAAAGACGGAAAAGGAAAACAGCCCTAAGTCTATATCTTCTATCTGCTGTCTCAGAAACCCCTGGGACCAGTGTTTGCTCTTAAGCTTACCTATAATATAGGATAAAATGAGATTCCAGCCAGTGATAAAAGCCCACAGTTCACCTACTGTAACGTAAGTGTACAAATATGCAGAACCAGTCTTGGGAACACGAGCACCAAACTCGGCGTAGCAGAGACCTGCCATCACAGATGCAAGGGCAGCAATGAGGAAAGAAACAACGATGCTAGGTCCAGAATCAGACTTGGCTACTTCTCCAGCAAGGACATAAACACCAGCACCAAGGGTACTTCCTACGCCCAGGGCTATAAGGTCCAATGTTGATAAGCATCGGCACAACTTGGTGTCCTCGAGACTCTCACCATCGATGTTCTTCTTCCGCACCAGACATCGAATAAAGGACAGAGCTGGTCCACAGGGCAACATGGCGGATGTAGAGCTCTGAAATAAAGGAAATTATATTTGCAGTATGCAAAAGGTAGTGCAGACTGTGGTAAAATACAATGGGAAAAAGTATTTGCGTGAAGAACTTTAATCACATCTACTCACTAATATATTCACACTGTTTTGTGACATTAAATAAGATGGCATGTGCTTTTTCCCCAGGAAACAAATTAGAGATACACTATTTCTAATTTTATATGTAGCACTTATGTCCCCAGGGAAAAAGATCCATTATCTTTAGGTTTATTACATTGTTGTAAAAAAGAAAAAATGTTTCTAATTATCTGATAATGGCCACTTCTTAACCACTTCTAAAACTGAAGCAGCCTATTACCTCATATATCATAGAGCCTTTTAAGATAAGGATCAACACCAACATAAATAAGGGGCTTGGGGACCTGAAACTAAGACTATAAACAGAAAGAGTTTAAAATACATTATTCAATATCCTTTTGTCTTCAGATACATAGCTTTTGCCCTTAGAATTTGCCTCATGAAGAACTGCTTGAAACAGATTAAAATAGTGTTTCTACTCTCTCACGCACTGAAATTTCCCAGATCTAATTATCCTTACAAGAAATCTTGCACACCTCTGCCTAACAATCATCTAACAAAACCTGATAGGCTAACTGCTCATCCCATGCCAGCTGCAGTTCTTCAACATTCTGAGTGCCCGGCTCAGTGTGGGATGTGATCAGCTCTAGCACACAAGCTCAGAATCTGTGACCAACCTGGTTCTGGAGGTGAGCAGTACTTCTCCGGCCTGTGATATGGGTGCCTGCTAGGAAAAGCAGGGATCCAGCTTCCCAACTAAAACAAATGGTCACTTGAGGGTCCAAAGCTTCTTCTTCAGAGGGAAGACATGGGCATCCCATAGAAAATAATATTTTAAAGAAGCAACATTAATGTAAAAGTTCTGTCTATGTATTTGTTTGAATTGTATTGTTGATGGCTAAGAGTGTGGTAAGAATAAAGCAATACCATCTGTCTTCTTTCCAAACTGCTGTTTTTCTTTGCAACTCATACCACAAATATCTGTACTGTATGATTTTTTAAGTGAAACCCTCCTGGGAACTGAAATCCATTTCATTTAGTGGAAGATATTCTGCTGGTTTATTCCTTCCTGGTCTGTATCAGTTTCCTAGAACAGTAAAGGACATTTCTACTCACACTAGTTCAATCCATTAAAAGTGATGACTTCGTATTAAGATGCATAGCTCAATTAACAGTGTTTGATCCTAAAACAGAGTCAGAAGCAGAGAGTATCAGGAACTCTGCCTTCCCTATAGAAGATTGCTTGGGGAAAAAAAAAGTCACCTGAGATGAGAAAGAACATTTTCACCCTGTTGCTGTAATAACTCCCCAGGTACACTCAAACATGCCACTTCTGCTTTCAAAGAGCACCCTTAAGAAAAAAGGTCTTCATTCCCTTTTAAGTAAAGGGAATTTGACAAAGGATAGTGAATGGACTTGAACAGCTGTGGACAGCGATGCTTAATCCCCTTAGATAGGTGGTATGTGGCCCAGGACAGTGGGAAGAGGCAGACCTGCAAGTTTCCAAAGCTCTGCTGCAATTAGGCAGTCCTTTCAGCACATTTGACTCCCAGAGACAAGAACCTGCCCATGGTATGTTGACCAGTTACAGAACTGCGATGATATTCCTGTCGGTGGAGATCCACAATATCTTCTAAGGGAATTAGCATTGGACTGTTCAGGCAAAGTCCCCTGCTGTGTCTCCTGAGATGCCATCTTCAGGAACAGCAGCCTTTCTTTGGGCCTGAGGCTGAGGCACTCCATTCCCACATAGCCAGGTTTATTTTTCCTGGGCTGTACTTAGACAAATATTCTGAGGCCACTTTTTTTTTCCCTAATGACAGTTCTGAAGCTGTAGCAACCACTTAGGATGTTATATTAATATGCTCATTAGTCTGCAGCCCATGTGACATGCAGCAATGAATGCTCTTGTGACTCCATGCCCTTCATCTTATCAATTTCAATGTTGCAGAAACATAGCATTTTTAAAGGAATTATTTCTCCCTCCCTCCAGATAATATTTCATCTGGCAATTCATTAACAGGAAAAAATACTCCGGCAGATCCTGTTCTCAGACCACTAAGGAATTTCCAAGACTCTTGTTATTCAAATGGCATCTCAGATTGTTTTGCTTCTCTGCCATCTGGGACACAAAGTCCTGAAAATCCTACAGCCATTTACTGCAGAGGCCAGTAAGTGATATTATGGTTTTTCTCTCATGAGAAGGAATCCTTATGGCAAAATAGGAGGAGTTTTTCTGCTTCTGATTTCTGCTTCTTGGAGAGAGGAAGAAGGCTAGTTCTTGCTAGCCACAAGCCAGTAAAAGACATTTGTTATGACAGAAAATCAGTCTTACTTCTTTAGCCTTTAGAAACTGGAGCACAACAAAAGACAAAGTTCAACATACAAACTTTGTGTCTGTAGAGGGGAAAAAAAAAACCACCTCATGTGCACGGCAAACTTCTTTTTGTAAGTATATCCATCCCAACATGGACTTGGCAAACACACCTTCTTTTACAACAACCACTGGACTCCAGCACATCTTCCACAGTTTCCTATACTTGGTATGCCTAAACTCATAGCAAAAAATGCCCAAACCCTGCTTCATTATTTCTGTTGCTGCATGCAAAGTGCAGCACTGTACCTCAGGCATGGCCCCCTTTCAGATTTGGCTGAGATATTCCAAGACTTCATACTTGATAAGACAGTGCAGCAGGAAGAACTGATGAGCTTACAAAGCTATTTGGCTTCACACAAGAGAAATGACATTGCTATGAGGTGGCAAGTGTCTCCAGAAATAACTAACAAGTGTAATGTTTTTCTGAGGCGTCCCTTTTAAAGCAGATCCTTTCATGTGTTACTCCTGCGAGAGGGTAATGCATTACCCTCCATCCTGAGCAATGGCTCGCTGCTGATGTGTGCTGACTCAGAAGCAGTTTATCAGAACACTGAGGCAGAGCACATCTCATGCTAAAATACAAACCTAGAGAAGCAAAGCAGGTAACAGCTGGGTTTTCCTTTTGGTGGCAGCATTGTCCTAGACAAGTTTATACTGACTGCCACCAAGCACTCTTATAAAAGGTCTCATTCCTGCAGATTCACAGCTCTTATTCCTGAGTTTGGACAAATATCAACTGATATTCTGCTGATCTTTATGCAGAGTGGAACATGAAGTAGGGCAAGTGAACACATTAAAAAATGATCTCTCCTACTTTTTAACTAGCAGGTTTCAGTATTTTCCTAACTGCTCCTTTATTCTTCCTCTTTTTGTTGCTGCAGCCTTACCCTGCCTCATCCTAGCATAGGACTGTGGGCTCTGCTTCATCTTGGCCTCTACTGCCGTGAGCCCTGCCAGGGCTGGCCTGGTCCCCTGCTGAATGTGCTGCACAGCTGAAGAGCACTGACTCTACACTGAGCCTTCCTGGGAAGGCACCCTTGACAGCTTGGGAAAGGGGGTTTTTGATAATTACACTGGGTAATCAATCAAGAAGGAAATGAGTGCTTTTGAGGCATCTCTGGTGCAGTCCTACATTTCCTGGAGCAGAGGTGGACACGTGCCTGCCTTTGAACAGAAGTGTTAGGCATGTAGCCTGCAAGGACCACCTGCCAGGGTGGACTGTATTGTTCATGCAGTTTAAACAGAGAAAATATTGAATCCTGATCTTATACAGAATTTAAACATAGTCAGTGAGTGATATGAAACCACAAAGGAAAATCCCTTGAACTCACCAACAGTATGCAGTTATTTCTAATTAAGGCATGGAGCAGACAGAACCTGATGAATCTCTCATGTATTCCAACCTGTGCTAGGCTCCACTTTGAAGTCTGCTTCACAGAGAGCACTGTGTCACAAGCAAGGCAAGCTTCATTTTGTCACACGCAAACACCTGTGAAGTGTATTTGTTACCAATGTTGGCACATTCCTTCTGCTGCATACAGCTGAGGGGTGGCAGCTCTTCCATTCTGCATGTGCTGGACCACACTTCTGAAGTCACTTTAGACCAAGTTTTAATTTAGCTGCAGGTTATGCTATAAACATGGAATACGCCTCCAACAGTCCTCCAAAAAAAGGCAGGTCGCAGTTCAACTGCCTTAGACTTGAGGACCAATGACCAGCCCTTACAGAAACCTCCTCCTTCCTTGAACAAATTCCTAGAAAGAACTGCTAAGCCATCCACACTAGAGTTTAGTTTTACCCCTTCAACAAAGATACAGGCAGGAGAGTAGGACACAATTTAGACAGGAAAAAAACTTGACAGATTTATCTAACAGGGGAGGAAAAAACAAAACAAAACTTTCTTATGTCTGATGGACTTTCACAGTATTTGTCAGAATAATGCCCGAATAAGCAGGTATTCTTCTGATCCCTTTTGTTCTTTATTATCTTTGTTAATTTTTTTCTCTACAGTATCTGCTGATAAAATTATCTTAATTTCAGCCTCTTCCGGCCAATTGTAAACCAGATCATTTACTGCTTGTCCACTACACATCTGAATGCCAGTCCAAAAAGATGAGTTCAGCCTTACAATTTGTACCAGCTTTTTGTTCAGGTGGATGATCAGGAACATTTAATTGTCATCTAGTGCTAGCCCTCTTCTGTCAGGAAATGTGTGGCGTCAAAAAAATTGTAACTAAAAACACAATGTAGGGACTAAGTCTCTATCTGCAAAGATTATATCAATATTTAAATCTGCTTTGACTGCTTCACAGTCATATAAAATCTACCATTTCTGCAAATTATTTTTCATGTAATAATAATCTAACCTAGCCTCCTATTCCACACAAAACTCAAAAAGTATGTGGATATTGGAGCAAAAAAAAAAGGTAACTTACATAATGTGTCAATAATTTTATTTCCAATAAAACAAAATTTTAATTTAATTGTCTCATACATGTTTTAATTTAGTACACATTAAACCAAATCTACACAGGGGAAAATCCAAAGTTTTGCTCCAGTTGCCATTCAACTTTTCCCACAAAATTTTCCATTAAAAATTCTAATAAAAATCTCACATGGAAAGCAAATGTTATAAATCAATATGAAACCTCTGAAAGTTTTAATACTGCTTTGAGATTTATGTTTAATGATTTTTGAAACCAAAATAAAATAAAGATATTTTATTCAAAACTATTCTGTTGAGCTAGTATTATGCAACATACTGTTAATTTTAGATGCAGTAGTTAAACATTTTAAACTGCATAATTAATAATAAAATACTCCAATCAGTTTGTAACATATTGAATATATACTATTGAATATATACTGGTTAATACAGATTAATTTAGCATCTTTTTTTCAGCCTCATTTTTCCTGTGAAACCTGTAAAAGTTTATGAAATTTTTTCCTATTACATACATGTAACCCTATTCAAAATAGCAGTATTACATTTATTAGATCTTGTGAAATAAGACATAGGTAGAAAATTAAAAGAATTCAGAGACGAAGCAAAACAAGATACAGTCTATGACGTGCGTGTGTGTATACATATGCACAGAAAATGCATTATTTTAGTACAAGTGTCCTAAAGGTTCCTGTAGTGCCTGAGACTTTCACAAAACTCCTAACGGCTTGAAATATTTAAAGTAGCATATTTCAATAATAAACCTTAACATTAGAAAGCAGCACCTGTAAAAGAAGTATAAGATGCATAAAAGGGAAAAGCAAAGAAAGTTTTATCGTTCAAAAGCAGAAACACCTTCTAGTCAGACTGGGAAGGAAAACATAACTGCATCTTCTATATATTAACACTGAATTTTCACTTCACCGAAGACAGAAATGTAAACAAACTGCACACCATGGCTCTTGCTACTCCAACAGCACATAATTTAAAGGCAAGGTTTCCTAAAATAACCCAGGTTGATTTCAGGTTACTTCTTTCAGCAGTAAACTTCATTACTAACCTGATTCAGAGCAACTTCTGCTAGGTAAATTTCTTCTCCTCTTACTCAGTCCTGAACTCCTGCTGTCATAAATGGAAGAGTAATGACATAAAGTGTTTTTATTAAAAGACTTGCTTTAAAAAGCCAGCTCCAGGTGGTGTGGGGGCCCTCAGTTCTGAGCGGGGAGAGGGGTGGAGGCTCGGACGACCAGGTGATTGGAGGGCTGCAAGCCGGCGAGCTATTTGCCAAGCAAGCAAGCAAGCAAGAAAGCAGGCAAGCAGGCAGGCAGGCAGGGAGAGAAGGTCTTGCTGGTGTTCAGATAAACAATATCTACTGTCTTCATGACAGAAAACCCAACTTAAATGCCATTTCCTGAATTTAAACACACCTGTGTCAGGGAAACTATTCAGACATCCTGAAGGAAATGCATGGGAAAATCCCACTGTGATACCAAGCAAAGTCCTTCCATTGCCCTTGTGAAAAACAGTTTTTGAAGCATATTGAAGGATGCTTTGCAATGTTTTGAGACCGGAGTAAATTTTAGAAGAACATAATTTCAAAAGTATTGCTATGGCTAGAAGCAACACAGAAGGCTATATATTTACAGAGATGGGTTAGAGCCCATTCTGTTGAACTGGGGTAGGTGTACCATAGATGATATTCTCCTTTATATGGCTTGAAATGAAAAATGCTGAAGACTGGACTTAGAACAAGCCAAACCTTCCTGTGATACAATGAATAAATAAACCTCAGTTTCTTAAAAATTAGCTTCCAGAATAAACCAAACCCCTATGTATAATTTACAGCTGTATATTTATTACTTCCAGTGGTGGACAACCCCACTCCAAACATGTAGTAGTATTCCCAGCCAGTATTATTCACAGGATATTGTTTCCTTCTAAACACTCATGTTTCCATCTCTTTATTTTTGTTCAGCTAACATAAGATAAACCTTGCAGAGAGAAGTGCTATGCTTCTCATCATTAAAAGGTCTTTCCGAGCAAAATAGGTAGAAAAACACATTGTGTGGCAGCCCGCTGCAACTTTCTCTCAGTTTTTACTTTTGCTGTTGTGAAAAGTCTGCCAGTGCTCCAGAAGCAGAGAAAGTTCCTCCTTTTAGCTTCATGAATAGCCCTGCTTTCTGCAGCCACATGTAAGGGAAGAATAAAAGCTGTCCTCAGCTTTCCCAGATCCAAGGAGAAATGCATCCAGTAAACTGCGCTCCACAAAGATGGACTATGTTTCAAGACCAGCTTACATTATCCAAGGCAATCATCTTTTTACAGGCAAAAACATATTAAGAGAAAAGGTCTTTTTTGCTGGAGGTCTGCTGATGACAATGCTAATGCTTCTCCTCATGTTGACCTCATCCTTGTTAAAGATGAACTTTATCTCTTTCGCAGTTAATACACAGTCAGAAGATAGAAACAAGAAGTTATGCTACAGGTTAGGTTTCTTGTGCAGAAATGCATGACAACCACTTTTAAGGAACATCACTCTGACCTGTGACAATATCTAGGCATTTTTTTACTAAACTAGCCCTCTCTAAATAGTCCATGAATGACTCAAGAATTACTCAGATGGCTCTTGAATATCTCCAGTGAAGAAGACTCCAAAACTCTAAGAGCAATCTGTGACAGTGCTCTGGTCACCTGCACAGTAAAGAAGTTCTTCCTCATATTTAGCTAGAACTTCCTGTGCATTATTTTCTGCCCACTGCTTCTTGTTTTGTTGCTTATCCCCTGTCTGTGATAATAATTCATCCCTGGTAGCACCAGTACACTTACGAATCCTTACAATGACAGGGCTGGGCTGCTTTGGTTTGTCTGACTTTCTAAAACTTAATCCTGCGAACAGTAGCACACAGAAGCTACACTGCTAAAGGCATTCAAACCTAGAACCCTCCTGGCTCCCAGTCAAGAGGCAGGGAGCATGCTGCTTGGTGAAATAAAATGGTTTTCATCTGTCCCACCTCAATCTAATGCACTGTGGGGTAGACCAGTATACCCTCATCACGCAGTGTTTGGATCTAAGTTCCTATGGACAGACACTCAGACACAGTTTTGGGTGCGTTTTCAGTGACACACGCTTGAAACGTCAAGAAGACCACGCTGTGACCCAGCAAAGGCCATTTTTGTAGATTCAGCTGACAGGTGTATTTGTTTGGCTGAGGGTGTGTGACAAAGATGTTCATACAGGGCCGGATCTTGTGGGAGATCAGTGAGGGATGCCAGATGTGGTGCTCTTTGGACAAGACTGAGCAGACAGAATGCCATCTGGTGGCAGCTACCTGTATAGCATACCCAGCTTCCCTCTCAGAGGAGATGCTTGTTTCTCTCCAGGAAAGAGCTGTGGTAGACACACTTTGTGGCTCACAGTTTGTTTCCTGTTACAAATCCAGCTGTTCTTGGACCAACAACATTAAGTGCTGATGTTAGAAACTTTTCTGCTCCTTAGGAACTATATCACTTGGATTAATACAAAGAGCCTCATCCAAGACTTCTCTGATTTACAAACCCCAAGGACTTTTGTAGCACATTCTTTCCATTAAAAATTTGATCAAGAATTCTCTCCTTGCCAGGAAGCAGTTGGCCACATTAGAGGGAATGAACTGAAGGACAAAATTATTTTATCTTATTTCCCTATGGAAGGCTCCTTTTAAGACTTTCCCTTAGAGTATCAAGACTATGAACATATTTTTATACAGTTACACAGTTGCTCAGGGGATTTTAATTTTATCAAAAAAAAAAACCTGCAAGCCAATAATTTTGAAACTCTTGCACAAAGTGAAACAGTGGTCTACAGATGCTTTCAAAGTGATTAAAAGCTGCTCTGTTATTGCCTCTGACTTGTCTCACAGGCACAGCCTCACAGCTATGGGCCAAAAATCTGTGGAGTTTTACATAACTGGAGGTATTAACTGTGCACATGCATATCCATGTGCTTGCCCATATAACTGACCAAAGTTAAAAATGAACAGAAGTGCTTGCTGGCCTAGGCCTTAGTGAACCATAGCAATCCCACCACTTTGCAACCAACTGTAATGAGCTCAACTTCTGTCATGTACAATGAAAAAGAAACACATGTTTTGTACACTTTGTGCAGCTCTGATGCATTATGAGAAGATGGACTGGTACTCATAAGAGGATTCATCAAGTAGCCAGCAAGAATCTTTTCCAGATAAAGTAATTACATTTTAGTGGTTCTGACCTGTGGTTCTGAGAGTAAAAATCCAGTGCAATCTGTGTGCTAATCTACACAAGATGATCATAAACATTTGAGAGAGAAATAATCTTTATAAAGCTCAATAGTAGTGTAGGCTGTCTCTATAATGTTATAATAGGATCATTTCTGAAGAGAATAAATTACAAATCAATACTTTTAAAGGATTTCCTATTTATTTAAATAAAAATATTTTAGATTGCTTCTCATGGTTTAACAAATTACTGAAACTAGTTCCTACAAAATATTGTACAGATTAAAATAAAATTATCACTTACCAAGTCCCTCTATTTTTCTTTAATAATTTTTTTTCAGTTTGTAGTTAGGAAAATACCTCAAATCCTGAACTTCTGTAAAAGAAATTTAATACAACCTATAAAAAATAATCACATACTACTAGACTAATGCAGTCAGGAAGAACAAACCTGAAATCCTGTATCATTTTGTATGTAGCAAGAAGAAGGGCTATGTTAGCACAAATTCCAATTAGTTATTTTGATCCAAGAATGAGTAAATTAACCTAATATTAAGCATGTCCAAAACAGCTACTAGCTGCCATTTGCTGAATTCCTAATATTCCCAGGGATCTAAAGGAAATTTTTGAGATGCTGACTCACAGTGCCGTCCCTAAGTCTAAAATCAGATTTTTCAAGAAGAAAAGTAACTATTTAAAGACATACTATCTATAAAAAAAAATCCACACATACTTTTTTGGCTTTGAATACAGGATAAATATAGATAGGAAACTTAGATTTAAAATGTTGTAATATATACAAAGAAGAACCAAGAAAATCAAAGTTAAAACTAAGACTTGATATTTAATTCAAAATAAACCATGATGCTTTGTCTTGCCAAAACTGAAATGATTCTGTTTTGCATCTCCCTGGACACCTGGGAAAGGTGTGTCAGACACAGCTCCACACTGCAGCTTGGGAAGGAGCTGGAGAAAGCACCACCAGACAGCTGAAGTGTGAGTATACTTCTCCCTCAGAGGCAGGAAGTTACAAATGGGCTTTCAATAAGAGCAGGAGAAAGATCTACCAGATAAAAAACTATTAAGTGGACATTATTAGGTGGATTTTTTGTGGTATAAGCTACTACATAACATCTTATTCTGCTTTTTTTATAAGCCTATTTGAACTTACAACATATTGGACTGAAGCAAATGTTAAAAAAAAAAAAAAAAGTATTCCATTTCTGACAACAGTCCATGTTTGAAACAAATGTGCAATTTCACATCTAAAGGTTTGTCTAATTTTCTATGTAAAGTTGTCTATGTAAGTCTAATTTTCTTTGAAAATTAGGCACATTTCATAGAAATCATCCCAACCTATGTAAATTCAACTGACATTTAAAAGTAGTATTTAATGTCAAAAAAGAAAAAACACCAAGCTTTTTTACCCAAATAATGAGGTTCTGGCTTATTAAATATTAAAAGCTGTATTGTCATGTATGGAGATTATAGGTTTTTAGTTGATTTGAATGTGCTTCATTTACAGCCTTTCAAGGCTATCCTATTCTAGTTATCACTTTCTTCACTACCTGAATTTACTGAAAGTTTATTTCCCAGTCCTTCTATAATACAGGACTTCCTTTGACTCACTGTTTTTACCTCAGCCAATCAATCTCTTTCCTCAGTTTACTTGGATTTTTTTATTGCTGGATTATTTGTGAGGGGTTTGGGAGGGTCGGTTTGTTTGTTTTTGCTGTTTTTTTGGGAGGATTTTTTTGTTGGTTGGTTGGGTTTTTCATGGGTTTTTTTGTTTGGTTGGTTTCATTTTTTCTTGGTTTTTTTTGTTTGTTTTGTTCTTAAATTTTTCAGCTGGAAAGGCTAAAAATTATCCTTTTCCCTGTATCGAAGAGGAAAATCTTACCAATTACTATTCATAATGAACATTTTTTTTCCCATAAAAAGCAATTTCATCCAGAATATTTATATTAACTCCGTTTCTACTTAACAATCATTTTCCTTTCT